CAGTCTTCTCAGCATTGTACCGACGTGTTGCACTGAGGAGAACAACTTCCCTCCTTCCTCAATGCCAGCTATTTTAGGAACTTTGACCACAATTGACTTTTGGTTGAGTAGGGTTATTTTGGGGTCTCTCCTATAAATAGCCATGTCTAAAACCGCCATTGAGAGAGCTTTTATCAGATATTATCTTATCCTTGTCTTTCTAAGCTTTTGCAAACAAAACTCTTTCCTTTGTAAGAATTTCCCAAAGGATCTTTTGATCTCGAGGTTTATTGCTTAAGTATTTATCATTTCCTTGTTTATCTTGTCTCTTGCTTTCATCTAATCATGTGTAGCTTTAATCTAGAGGATTTAGGCTTGATGAATGAGTAGTTTACTTATAGGGTTGAGATTAGGGTAGATTATGATGGTTTAATGATTGATTAGGGTGCTATGTTGTTAGATCATGTTAATCTCTTCTCTTGCAATTGTGTTTAATGCTTAGTACATCCTTTATTGAGAAAGAGTTTTTAGGCCCCAATATCTTGCATGGAAAGTGTTTGATATATTGCTTGAATGAAAGTTTGTTGCTTGAGAATGGTGTTTTGATTGTCATGACTCTTAACATCTAGTATTTCTTGCACATTTAATCGTAATGCTCTAATACTTGAAGGATAGAAACTGATTTTAAATGCTGATCATACATGGGAGTGTGAGTTAGTGTTTGATTCATTGTTTGAGAAATGAGTAAGCTTAGTCCTCTAAGATGCTTGTTAGGATTTAAGCTCCTTATGCTTTATGCTTATTGATTGCATTTCCACCATTGAAATTGGGTTAGGAGTGTAGTTAGTAAAGATATTTTTACTAAGAGATTAGATTAATCTTTATTAGTGGTCTTACTTAGAGATTAGACAGAGATTGTTTGTTTTGCACCATAGTCATGATTTAAACCATCTGAAATCATATTGCCATAGTCTTGATCCTAGTCTATAATTATATTTCGAAATCTGCTTAGTCTAGCTCTGTTTTGCATTCAGTTAGTATTTCTTTGTTTACTCTTTTCACTTGGTTACTTGTTTGCAATCCTTCCTTGTTTGATTGTGAACCTCTTTTGAAAACATATTTGCCTAGCTTTACAAGTTAGCTGCATTTCCTCTAACTTCCCTTGTTTGGATTGATTAAACTCTTTGCCACTATACTACATATAGTGCATTGAGGTTGCACTCAAGACATAAAAAGTCTTGTGTCATGCACGTTTGGCCGATTGCCAAGTTAATGAAGATGAATTCCCCGCATTAGGGGGATGGTTGAGAGAATCACCAAAAGATATCACTTGGTGCACAAATTCTTTGGCTTATCTTGATCCTTCTACCAATCAACGTGAGATGGAAGTTCAGAAAATTGTACATATGTAAAATATGGCAAACCAGTTACCAGATGCGTTCACAGATACAAAGAGGATGACAAAGTCGTATATCCCTGCAGCCAATGTTCCATCCAGAATTAGTGTTCCTGAAGAACACATTGATGGAAACATCAAATGAACCTAAGGTTCAGTTGAAAAAAGGGAGACTGATGGGTTCTAAAGATAAAATTACCTGAAAGAAGAAGAATATGGGAAAACAAAGTTAAAAGGTTCTAGAAGAACTATCTATAGAAAAATGTCCTGAAGACATTTTTGAAAAGGTTCTAGAACAACCAGATAAAGAAATTCGTCTTGGTGACAAATGTGAAAAAGAAAATATGAGATTTCTATCAATTACGCCCAAAACAGAAAATTATGGATCAGAGATAAAATAAAAGACATTGATGGAATATTCTCTTTTTGTACCTAAAGAGCTTAAAAGCGGGGATCAGAACCAAGGTCCATATCATAATGTCAGAAAAGAGATGATTGGGAGAAATGGAAAATGGCCATTGAAACAGAATTATTCTCCCTAAATAAAAGAAATATTTTTAGACCTGTTGTCACAACACCAGAGCATGTAATGCCTGCCAGATACAAATGGGTGTTTGTAAGAAAGAAAAATGAGAAAAATGAGGCCACGAGGTATAAAGCTAAGCTTGTGACACAGGGTTGTTCTCAAATCCGGATTTCATTATGAGGAAATATATTCCCCAGTAATAGATGCAACAACATTCAGACTCTTAATTAGTCTAGCAGCATCCAAGAGTCTATACATGTATCTGATGGATGTTGTGACAGCATATCTATATGGATCACTTGAGAATGATATATATAGGAAAGAAAAATGAGAAAAATGAGGCCACAGGGTATAAAGCTAGGCTTGTGGCACAGGGTTGTTCTCAAAGACCAGGATTTGATTATGAGTAAATATATTCCTCGATAATGGATTCAATAATATTCAGACTCTTAATTAGTCTAGCAGCATCCAAGACTATATACATGTATCTGATGGATGTTGTGACAGCATATCTATATGGATCACTTGAGAATGATATATGTATATGAAAATCCCTTAAGGATTGAAAATGCCAAAAGCGATGTGTGCGATCAAGTTACAGCTATCATTTTACAAATTGAAACAATCCGGACGGATGTGGTATAATCGCTTAAGTGAGTATTTATTGAGTAAAGGTTAAGTCAACAATGCGATTTGCCCTTGTGTGTTTATTAGAAATCCACACCAGGATTCGTGATCACTGTTGTTTATGTTGATTACTTGAATATTATCGAAACTCAAAAAGAGATTGATGATGCAATAACTCATATGAAAGAGTAGTTCGAAATGAAGGATCTTGGAAAGACAAAGTTTTGTCTTGGGCTCCAGATAGAGCATTTCCAAGTTGGTATATTCGTGCATCTATCAAATTATACGAAAAGGATCTTAAAACAATTTAATAAGGATGAAGCAACTAATTTGAGTACTCCCATGGTCAATAGATCCAATTCGGCCATGTGAGGATATCGAAGAAATATTAGGTCCTGAAGTACCATATATGAGCGCTATCAGTGGGCTTATATATCTTGCAACTTGTATTAGACCTACTATAGCTTTTGCTACTAATTTACTTGCAAGATAGAACTCATCTTCAACACATCGACATTAGAACAAAATATAACATATATTCTGTTATTTACAAGGTATTATTGAATTTAGTTTGTTTTATTGTAGAAACCCCGAGTTTGGTATGGTTGGTTTTGCAGATAGGAGATATTTATTATATCCGCATAAGGCTTAATCACAAACTGGATATGTTTTTACAATTCGAGGAACTGTGATCTCTTAGCGTTCCCAAAAGCATACTTTTGTTGCAACATCATCAAATTATGCAGAAACTATTGCATTACATAAAGCTTGTAGGTAATGCGTATGGCTTAAATCTAATTCATCACGTATAAGATGCAAACAGAATAGAGACAAAGAGAAAACCAACAAAAGTGTTTGAAGATAATGATGCATGTATTGTTCAACTTAAGGAGAGTTATATCAAGAGTGATTGAATGAAGCATCCCTCTAAGATTTTTATCTTATATAAAAAAAATTGAGAAAAATCAAGAAGTGTACATTCAATATGTTCGTTCATGGGACAATGCAGTCGACTAATTCACAAAATCGTTTCCTACTACAACATTCAGTAAACATGTTTATAGTATTATAATGCAGCATCTCCAAGATTTTTGAAGAAAAAATCAAACTTGTTATTTTGAAGAAGAACATTACTATACTTTTTTTATCATTGTCATAATTTTTATCTTAAATGAATTTTTCCATAATCAAATTTTTAATTAAACAATACATAATACATTATTAAATAAATAATTAAGGAGAGTACTAAGGGTCTGATTGGTAGAGAGACTGTGAAGACTGTAACATGTTTCACAGTCTTAAAAGTAAAAAAATAACCAATCACACTTTTAATGCTTTATAATTTTTAACAGCCTGTAAAGTCATATTCAAATTTTTTCTTCTTTGTTTCTTATTTTTTCCTACAGCCATTTTTTATTGGGTCTGACTGGTATGTCAGATGAATAACAGATAGCAGAATAACTAAAAAATTACTAGCGGAATGAACTGAACTGAATAATATTTTAGCTGAATAATTGTGAAACGCTGAAAAGCTACTTTTAGTAGATTAATCACGTTTTGTTTTTTTTAGTTATATTTTTAACACGCTAGCGGAATCACGTTTCAAAAACATAAAAAAACGTGAAAACGTGATGAATAACATGAATGGTAAAAAATAACAGAATCAAGTTTCCAAAACGTGAAAACGTGAAAAAGCTGCATACCATTCAAACCCATTATCTTTTTCCACTTTTCTCTTTCTTCTCTTCTTTTTTTTCGGTATTTTTTAATTTTTTTACTCTAAAATTTATTTATCTAACATAATTTCTATTTTTTTTTTCCCCAAAAAGTTTAAAACCATTCTCTCATATTATATAAATTTTATAACAAATAAATTTTAAATAATTAATTATTAATACATTTTTCTTTCTTTTGAGATCTAATTTACCATATATATTTTTAATTTTTCAAAATTATTTGTGTTACAGTTAATAAAAATTTAATAAAAATATAAAAGTTATTTATTTTACATATTCATATTCACAATAAAATAAAAATATATAATTTATATTTTAGAATAATGTTTTTTAAAATTATAATATTTAAAATAAACAATCACAATATCTACAGTTTTTATTACCAATCATACTTTTAAAAATATATACAGTAACAGTCACAGTTTTTATAGCCAAATTATTTACAGTCAAAAGTGTAATCACAGTCTACAGTCACAATACTTACTAATAGGAGCCTAAAAAAAAAAATTATCTAGTTAATGTATTTTTATTGATCCCACTCTCATTTATTTATATCCTCTATAAATATAGGTTTTATAAACATAAATTTACACACACGATAATAATAAGAACAAGTGTTTTATAACTTCTTGGATACAACTTTTTCACTTACTCAAAATATATATATATATATATAATATTATAATAATATAATATATTATTCATATATTGATATACAAAATTATAAATAATTTATAACAAATAATAATTTCTTTATTCTTCCAGGTGTTCTCTGTCCAGCTTCTTCACTTTTAGCAAGAAAATCTCTTTTCTCTCCTGTAGACTCTACAAATCGCTACATTTCGAAATTTGGAAATCAGGTTTGTTCCTCTCTCTCTCTCTCTCTCTCTCTCTCTCTCGAAAGTCTTGCTTTTTCGCCGTAGGTTCATGAAAATTCGGGATCGCTTGTCGATTTGGTGGATTTTGACTGATTAGGGTTTCTCTGCATGTCAATTTTTACCTTATGTAGAAAGTGTGACCATGGCGACCCCAAGGCAGCTTGATTTCTCTTCCGCTGGTGATGACGATGACGACGATACCTCTACTCCTTCACCATCCTTCTCCCGACGCAAATCCCCGCGGAAACAGACCTCCGAGACAGTAGCAGAAGAAGCGACAGAGAAGCAGAAGACGATGAAGAAATTGGCTTCGCCGCCGAGCAACCGAATCTGGAACGAAGAAGATGAGCTCATTGTGCTAAAGGTCTCTCTCTCTCTCTCTCTATTTGTCTTCTTGATTGCATGGCGATCATTCTAATTTCTCATTTCTTTTGTGTATATGAAAAAAGGGATTAGTGGATTATCGAGCTATAACAGGCTTCCAAGCAAACAGTGATTGGGATGCCTTTTATCGTTTCGTCGGAGACTCCATCGTTGCTAAATTCTCCAAGGAACAGCTGATGGGTAAGGTCAGCAAGCTGAAAGGGAAATTCTATGTTCGCATGGAGAAAATCAATCAAGGGAAAGATCCGATCTTTACTAAGCTTAGTGATGCTAAAGCCTTCGAATATTCCAATATGGTTTGGGGCCAAAGTGATTCGGAGTTTGCTAATCACCAGAGCAAGATTTGTGTAAGTTATCTATCATTTGCTTCTAAGCTTTTGTGTGTTGTTATAATTATCTATCTCTCTAGTAAGTACAATGGGCAAATCTGTTTCTGATTTATGTGTTTGATGAATTGTATTTACTAGTTTCCTATTTTTTCTTTCACGGCTTGGATATTGTTTAGTAATATGGTTGGTTTGTTGAATCAGGAGGAGGAGAAGCTTAAGGAGGACGAACAAGTGGCTACTGTTGAACCTTTAGATGAGATTGGGACAGCGTCGAAAACTGACTCTCCCGTTCATGGTACCTCTCCGTCTTCCCAACGCAAATCCAAGCAGAAGAAAGCCTTAAAGCGTCCGGCTTCCGAAGCAGTAGCAGAGGAAGTGACAAAGAACAAGAAGACCAAGAAATTGGCTTCGCCTGTGAGCAACCGAATCTGGAACAAGGAAGATGAGCTGGCTGTGTTAAAGGTCTCTCTCTCTATATATATATGTACTAGTTCATCTATTTTTCTTTCATCTACTAGATTGTGTTGTGATTCGTTCTGTTTCTCATTTTTTGTGTGCAAAAAGGGACTTGTGGATTACCGAGCTAAGACAGGACTCGAACCAAACAGTGACTGGGTTGCCTTTTATCGATTCGTAGAGGGTTCCACTGTCGAAAAATTCTCCAAGTATCAGCTCTTGGATAAGATCAGGAAGTTGAAAAGGAAGTTCTTTGTTCACATGCTAAAAATCAGTCAAGGAGACAATAGCTGTAGCGACTCTGAAGCCTTTAGATTGTCCAGAATTATTTGGGGCCAAATTGAACCTGAATTTGCTAATCATAGCGAGAGTGGTGTAAGTTTATCATTTCTTTTTAACTTATCTTGATTCTCAGCTTTGCGTGTTGTTATTATCATCTCTTTCTGTAATAAGCATGTTACGCACAATGGTTTCGATCTACTTCGCTCGTTGTTCTCTATGTAAAAGTTTCCTTTTTTGTTTCCTCTAAGAGATAAAATGATTTGGATATTGTTTGATAACAATATGATTGGTTGAATCAGGGGGATTCAAGGATGGAGGACGAGCAAATGGCTAATCCTGAACCTTTAAATGAGAATAAGGCAGCAAATGATGGCAATGTCGACAATGATGCGGATGCTGATGAGTCATGGGCTCTGCGGGATGCATTTGAGGCCATGATGTCGAAAGGATTAAGTGAGTACCTAAGGAGGGTACAACTTAAGAAGCTGATGAATGTTGGACCTGATAAAAGAAAAGAGCTAAGCGCTGAATGGAAGGCGTTATGTGCTGAGGAAGCAAAATTGAATGTCAAAAGGTTCAGGTTTTCCGCTAAGCTTGCAGAGGCATCAAATGATATGTGAACCAAATAAAGAAGCCCTTGCAGCATTTGGTGTTTATTTAGGGTAAGCTGTCCTTTGAGAACTGTCTTAGGAAGATAGTTCTAATGTCTCTGATATGTGAACCGAACAAAGTAGGCATGTCTTAAATCCTTTTGGTTGTGGCTTTTGTTATTGTAGATTAGCATCCTAATGTCTGTGTTCTTTTTGTGAAGATAATTATCCTAATCATCCTGTAGTGAGAAACCTTCACTTGGTTTCCCTGTCTTTCGAATGATAGACTACAAACAAGCGTATATGGAATCCTTCCCTCCATGAAAAACTCCCAAACTTCGATCACATCAAGATTCGTATATTTATTAGACTACGAACAACCATATATGGATTCGATTTAATGGATTCGATTTAATGGTTTGGGTTTTGGATCATCGACAGACAGGTGATGAAGAGACAGCCATATTCACATATTCGTCTTATGCTCTGTGGTTTTTGGATCTTCTGGTACGAAGAATATTATTAGGAGCTTGATTAGTTGTTGCTGTAGACATAACAATATCTAAGACATTAAGGAATATAGTTTTCTCGTTCAATTTCACTAAACATTACCTAAATACCTTTAATAAAGAAATCGTTAATATATTATAATATATTTCGAGCTTTTTGATATTCTGAATTCGAATAGATAAAATCATATCTGTATTTATGAATATTATATATAAAATTTGGTAATATCTAAATTCTTCTGAGTCAGTTACAAGTAATTAAACCCTCATTTTCTAACCTAATAAACTCTATATATACCACCAAATCTAGGTTTTTTATTTTACGTGATCATCAACCACATTTCTAATATTTCTATTCTTATGTTTATAAATTTGTTTGTTATTTTTGAATTTGATGTATTCTTTATATTATGGTTTAGTTTATTTTTTGATTTTTCTAATTTGGTATGAATCTTACGTTAATCTGTGTTTTAATCCTTTTAAGGAGATAAGCGAGAAATCGTCTACAATGCTCTTCTCGCTTATTTATTGAGCTGCAATGCTCCTCTTTTAATTTAAAAGGTTTTACAAAAAATAAGATAAATAGAAAAAAGGAAAATTACTGAAAATTAGATCAATTCTAATGAAATTACCATTTGTACTTGGATCTAACCCGAGAAAAATTGGATTCTTCGATGGATCGGGTTTGAGTCCGGTTTAGACCCGAATCTCCCCGAAAATCCCTCAAATATTTTGGAATTCTTTCAAATATTTCAAAAACATCTATCTCTCTCTCTCTCTCATACCACTGAATCGTCGAGGAGTCGCAACCGTCATCTCTCACCGAAACCGGAGAAAAAACCCTAGTACGGCGGTAGAAAGAGGGAGAATCGACAGAAACAAACGATGCCAAGGACGAGAAAAATGCGTGAGGAGAACCCGACCAGTCAGAAGCCGGCGGCGAAGAAGCGAAAAATGCCGACGGAGAACCCGAACCCGAGTCAGAAGCCGGCGGCGAAGAAGCGTAAGATAACAAAATCGGGAACGACGAAGGAGATTCCGGGTGGAGAGGCGACTCCTCCTCCTCCTCCTCAAGAGGCGACTCCTCCTCCTCTGATTGTTGAAGCAGAAACGACGGAGGCAGGTAACTCCTCCGATGGCCGGAATCCTGTAAGTTAATTATCTCCTTCTCCAACTCTTTTGCATTTTGATCACAATTCTCAATTCTCAATTGTCAGAAATTGTAAAACTAGGATAATTAGGTAATACTAGCATGTTGGTAAAACTAAGAAAACTTGGTAAAACTAGTATTATGTTGTAATATTCTGAGTTTGGTATTTATATTGTATGTATATTGCAGGGTGCCTTTGAAGAGACGGTTGCTATGCGACCAGACATGTACTTGAAGCCTGATCAGTATAGCAAGACCATTAAACTACCAACACGGTGTTTCGTCCAAGAAGTTATGGAGACGTTTGAAAAAGTGGATCTGACTCCGACGGAAAGAGAGTGGTTTGAGCAGCATCCGCAGTTCTGCCACATTCTTCACATGCCGAAGAGCAATCATATGGTTCAACCATTGTGGATGTTGTTGCTGCGTACTGCTAGGATCGAAAGGGAGAAGGAGGCTTGGTTTGTGGTGAATGGCGTTCCCATTCGATATGGGTTACGAGAGCATGCTATGATCTCAGGACTCAATTGCAGCAACTACCCTCTCTATTGGAATAAAAGAGGCAACTCTTACTTGAAGCGAAATTATTTTCCTGACAAAAAGAAGGTTTTAAGGGAGGATGTGAAGAAAAAGCTTGAGGAGATGGGCTCGGATGATAGTGGAGATAGGCTCAGGATGGCGGTGTTGTATTTCTTGAGCAGCATCATCTACTCTCCCACCAAAACCGGAGACAATGCAAAACCCGTGCTCAATGTATTTTTAAAATACGCTGATGATTTTGATAAGTGTAAGACATTTCCTTGGGGGAGATTGTCTTTTGATCGCATCTTAGAGTCTATTTCGGATACGATGAAGCACTTTGTTGAGAAGGGGTTGGGCAGTGCATGGTCGTTTCCTGGTTTTTGCATTCCATTGGAGGTAAAAGATTGTCTTTTGCATTGTTTTCCTTTTCATTTTAAGATTGTCTATTGCAGGTAAGTCTAATTATATGCGTATGTTTGTAGCTTTTGGCGCTGGAGGCCATTATGCCACTGAGACAGAGCTTCCGAGAAGCTGTACCAAATACTAGCGTCGATTGTCCGAGGATGTGCAGGTCCAAGTGGAAGAAATGCGACCTGAGAGGTTGGCCACTTGAGATTGTGTATCAAAAGCTCGGATGCGAGAACAAGGTTAGTAGTCATTGCAGATTTGAAAAAAACAATGAAACTTGTTAACATTAGTTGTTTAAATGTGTTTAACTTGACAGGACATTGACAGTGTGCTGATAGCTTCGGAGGAGGAGAATGCGATGTTGGATTTGATAATGGAAACGGAGGACGATGTTGATGAGCACGATCCTGTTGTGGAAAGTTGGGAAAAACGTATTGATAATGGATTGACGGTTGTGTTTGAAGACATGAAGGAGGAAGATGTGAAAGGGCGAGAAAAAATGGTGGAGGAAAGAGCAAGAAAAAAACCCCGAGCTAAGAAAATGTCTCTGGAGGATGTCGTTAGCGCGATGGAGACCATGACAGAGCAATTGGGTTTGCTCTACAACATCGTCCATAAAATTGATGACAGGATAAAGCCACTTGAAGACTATGTGAAAGCGAGAAAGAATTCAGGCTCTTGAACAAGATAAATCGTCTACTTTGTTTTTATATTTGGTTGAACTTTCTTTTGATTTCGAACTAGTACTTTTTTTTTATTTGGAACTAGTACTTTGTTTTTATTTGGAACTACTATTTTATTTTTATTTGGAATTAGTACTTTGTTTTTATTTTCGATCTCGGATGAACTATGTTTTTAATTTGAATTATTGAACTCCTGTATTATTAGGTAAAACTAGTCGTAGTAAATGTTGCTAGAAATTTTTTTATTTGGAACTAGTATTTTGTTTTTATTTGGAATTAGTACTTTATTTTTATTTGGAACTAGTACTATGTTTTTATTTTCGATCTCGGATGAACTATGTTTTTAATTTGAATTATTGAATTTCTGTATTATTAGGTAAAACTAGTCGTAGTAAGTGTTGTTAGAAAAATAAATACTAAGAAAAGTTAGTAATACTAGGTGATACTAACATTAGTAATACTAATTAAAATATCAATGATAACTTAAGAAAATACAAGCAAAATAGAAACGTTAGTCTTGAACAACGATTAAAACAACAATTAAAGGAACAATTAAAACAACAATTAAAGAAAATTGCAGATTCGCTAAGTCTTGAGCTTGGCTATCTCTTCGGCTTGGATCTGAATCTGTTTTCGCATTTCTTCAATCGTCTTGCTCTGCTCTTCAACTTTCTTAACTAGCTTCGCAATCTCTTCTTCGACTCCGAAAACCCATGGCTGACGAAAGTGGAGTCCATCATCCTAGCAAAAAAACAAAAAAACAAGCAACATCCATTATAGTTATACCTAGTATTCCAAGTTTTACACCCGAAGAACATCTAAATAGTTTAACCTAATTTTACTAGTTTTACTCAGAAAAAAACCCAAATCTGAATTTATAGAGATTATACCTTAAATTTGGTGCAGGTGAAGTACCTACTGCCTGGTTGAGTATCGAAATCGTGTTTAAATTTTGGAGAAGGAGATACATCGTTCTTGATAAATCCACCACATGGGCATCTTCTCGGAATCCCATATTGGCCGTCGGCGACGAATCCAACCATGTCCCAATGCTGCTTCATCTTCTCCATTTCCTTGCGGCGCCTCTTCTCTTCCTTCAACTCCTCCACGTATGGGTCGATGAGGAAATTGTCCGTGTAGTGATAGCTACAATCCGAATCCATTTGTAGAGAGAGATGAGAGATCGATTTTAAGGGAGAGAGAGATCGATTTTAAGAGAGAGAGGGAGAGGAGAGGATGAGAGAGAGAGAGAGAGAGATATCGATTTTAAGAGACAGAGAGAGGTTCGAGAGTTTGTAATGAAACTCTGAATTTTAGATTAGATCGAAATGTTTTGAAAAGTACACTCTCCTGCGAAAAAATTCAATTTCCCGCCGAGAAAATTCAATTTCCCGCCAAAAAAATCAATTTCCCGCCGAGAAAATACACATAGTAATACCAGATTGTCAGTTATACAGAATCTTGAAATATTATTATACCACCTAAAACTTATATTCCATCACCTAAAAGTTATATTTTCTAGTATTACAGTTTAATTATATGGTTTTACATATGAATATTATTGTCCTATGCAACAATAAGTTTGAATATAGTATTTTTTACCATTCACTTAACAAGTTGGTTCTCCATAAGAAAGTGTTTCTTAAAGTATAAGGGAATGTTAAAGATCAATATTAGAACTCTGGTTCAAGAATAAGTTTGAACTTGTATTTTGTTAATTATTAGGTTTGTATGACATATAAGTTGTCGTTCTAACAAAATTAACTAATTTAGGTGATTAGTTTTGATTTTTAAATAACAATACATAATTACTTTGAAAAGTCACCAATCATGCATAATTATACCAGTATTACACATAAATCATAACGAAAGCGAAAATGAATTACACGTAACAAAAGTTTAAAAGTTAAAACTTTTACATCATGCAAAGTGTTCTCCATATAGTAATCCTGCTAGTGTCCTTCCCCGCTTGAGTTTGTTATGTGTCCTTCCCCTTTGGCGCCTTTCTCCCGTTGATGGAAATCTTTTTTCTTTTGAACGACCCTTTTTCTTGACGTGATCCGGAGATATTATCTCCTTCTCCATGATGTAATCCGGTACAATCCACGCAGACATATCGGGCACCACGTAGATCGATCTGCTATAAGCCAATATCCACATCTCCACGAAATAGTATTTCGAACACAAGTCATAATATTCTATGCGGATATCACGCCTTCCATTTTTCTTTAAGGAGATGAAAGCGGCTAATGCGTGGATACAAGGATACCTATGAATATCGAAGAACCTGCAACTGCAGGTTTTATTGGCCAAGTCCACCAAATAAAACTTTCCCTCTTCTGACATGACTTCGTATTCAAGGTCACAACCGTTTACCTCCCTCACATCTAATTTCTCAGCTATAGGCCAATTTTCGTGCAAGAAGTTCTCAACCAAAGGAACCAGTTTCTGAGCACTCGTTCCTGCCACAGACTCGTTCCTGCCACAGACTCGTTCCTATGCTGGTTAAACCAATCAGAAAACGTTCGAACTATCGTATCAAGCATGGGTATTAAGGAGTACTTTCTCGCATCCCTAAAAGTTTTGTTTAGAGATTCCACGGAGTTGCTTGTGTCGAGGTTGTATCTAGCAACCAGAGAAACACATCTTGCCCACTTTTGTGGCACAGTCGTCTCCTCCATATACTTCGCCGCTGAAGGAAATCTCTGCTTAAACGCCTCATAAAGCATATTGAACTCAGCCACCATATGAGCCTTACCACACTCTTGGAATTTTTTGGCGACAACGGCTCTGCTTGCGCTTGGAGCATGACCTTTCACGTTTTGAGCCAAATGCCATAAGCAAAACCCATGATGAGCTTGTCGATAGACGTTAGCTACGGCGTTGATGAGGCTGGTATTTCTGTCACTCACAAATACGAACTCCGAAGAATCGTCTACAACAGTTTTCAGCTTCTCGAAAAACCAGCCCCAACTAGCATTGTTCTCGCCGTCGAGTACACCGAATGCTATGGGATAAATGTGACGATTTGGATCCTGAGCTGCAGCGAAAACAAGTACACCACCAAATCCGGCCTTGAGAAAAGTTGCATCCACCACAATCACTTTCTTCATGAACTGAAACCCATCAATGGAAGCTCCCAAAGCTATGAATAAATACTTGAATTTTCCCACCATATCCAGTTCCACAGCTGTTTTCGTACCCTCATTCAGCTCCTCTAAGACGTACAAATAATGATACAACATCATGTAGTTATCTTCCGGAGTACCACGCATATCAGAAATAGCTTGATTCTTCCCTCTCAAAGCCGTGAAGTATGATACCTCTACACCAACTTTCCTCTTCACAAGTGTCATGATTTCTCTAGGAGTTGGAGTCTCGAGTTTCCCGGGATAATGCTCACTCACAATAGCTGCAACTAGTCATACTGATCCTCTCCTCTTCACGCTGCCTTCTTCACTCTGACTAGCACGGTTACATGTGTGCATATTCCTGTAGGTTCTAATCGAAAAAGCATCCGATTTTGCTATATTTGCTGCTCGTACGTGCCACGTACAACTTCGTTGCGCGCATTTTACCACCCATCGCTGAGTATCAGAATTTTTTATAACATATCCGAAAGATTTAACAAATGCGCCTCTATGAACCACTTCTACAACAGCATTCTTACTAGGAAATTCTTGATCAATACTCAAATACGAACCGTCTTCCCATGGCTCTAAACTCTGACTGCATTCAACAACAGGTGGTGCCTCAACATAATAATCATGTCTATCTGATGATTTTACACCGTTACCCCCACCATCATCGTCATCATCATCATCATCATCATCATCATTATCATCATCATCATCATCATCATCATCATCATCATCATCATCATCATCATCATCATCATCATCATAATCATAATCATCATCCTCTTCTTCTTCTTCTTCTTCTTCATTTCTTTCTCTGTTGTCAACATGCAACGTTATGGCATTCGGTCCTATTGGTCCTATTTCTCCGCTTTCATCATCAATGCGCTGTGAATCTTCATAATTCATACCATAAGAGCTTCTCCCCACTCTCGATTGTTGCACAGGCAGTTCCGGTGTACTCATCAACTCCACAATCAAAACACATCTACGGTTCTCATTATCAACATGCGATAGATATACCAACAGATCCTCATCATCACAAATATACGACTTTTCCTCACATCCAGCCAATCTAGCAATGCAACTCAATTGCAATTTAATCTTACTTTCATCTAACCCAAGCTTCTTGTATAGCCTAGCTTCTATCATCGGTATTGTTATCTCCTCAACTGATGTCTTCAACACTAGACCATTGATGCGACCTTCGCATTTATAATGTATGGTGACATAGTTGCTCATTTTAACCTGCCAATAAAATCCCAAAAAACTCATTCAGTACTGTTTTTTTTCCCTGTTATACTAGTTTTACTAGTTATACATCATTTCCTAGTATTTATAGTATTACTAGTTATACTATTATCGCATCTCATGACCAAGATCCAGTTCTCATATCGAACTCTTCTCAGATCCAGTCGGTTTAGAGATTTCAAAAACTTACAATTCACTACGATTCAGCCACTGTAATGCATTTGAGGCCAATATAGAGTAATATTCAACCCAGAAACATTCGTTAAACACCAATGTGCATGAAATCCAATTCAATCTATTATTTCTCTTAATTTCCAATTCCTAAAACCAAAAATTTCCCAAAAATTAACACCAATGATTTATTGCAACCAAACGGACCTCAATTTCGGACCTTAATGAAGCTCCGACGGTGTAACGGCGGCGAACGGAGGTCGACGGAGGTGGAGGCAATCGTCGTCGACCGTTTCTCGTCGAGAGAGAGAGAAAGACAAAGAATGGTCAATGGTCAACTCGAGATGGTCAACTCCAATCTTGGTCAATGGTCAATCATTAATGGCAAAATGATCATTCTACATTATGAAGAGCATTGTGGATCACACTGATAGTGATAGAGATCAATTCACTTTTCATAAGAGTATATGAGACGGTGTCTCGAGATAAGCAGACGATAAAAAGAGAATAAAAATTGGGGATGAGAAATCCCTTTGAAGTTTTCAGCGGAAGATGATCGAGTTCGTGAACATACGAGCGATGCTTCGTCTCCGGTGGCAATAGCGGAGGAGCGAAAGGAGGACCACAATGCGCTGCGTTCTCCGGAAAACAGTGAAGAAGATGAAGAGAAATCAAAGCAGCAAGAGATGGATTGGAAGATGGACGAGGAGTTCAAGAGATTTATAGGGAATCCATCAATCGAAGCTGCGATAAAGCTCGAGAAGACGAGGACTGATCGTAAGCTCAAAGAGCTGAAGAGAGAGAGAGCAACAGTGAGAATCCGATCATCAGAATATTCAACCGCTTGGCTCGTGATAGTCTGACTAGAGAGAAAGAAAGGGTTGAGAAAGTGATATATCATGGTTTTTATGGTTTTTAACCATGATATAAGTTCTTTTTATTGAGTCTTTTTGGTCTTTTTAGAGTCCTAGAAGAGTCTTTGCAGGTTATAGCATGTCTGGAGCATAATTGGAGATTTTGGAACCTTTTGGAGCATTCTGAGTTGAAGCCACGAAGTATCCAACTCGGGAAGAAAAGTATGCATATGGGTGACGCTCGTCACCAATCTGGTGACGCTCGTCACCCACCAAGGAAGGAGGTCGTGGCCTGTTTTTAAAAGATTGGGAAGAAATTGCAGTTTTGGCCCAAAAGTTCCAGTATTTGCAAAAAGACCCCAGATCGTGTTTTAGCTTGTATATTAGGTTTTTCAGCCATTCTTTTGGCAGATATCTTGTATCTTATTATTTTTGAGAGCTTTAGAGAGAGATTTGTAGAAGAGCTTTTGGAGAGACAAATCAGACTCCTTCAGAGCAGATTTTGAACTCCTTTATTTCTACTTCTTATTTCTTTTATGCAATCTATTCTTTTCATGATGTTTTCTCAAATCACCATGTCTGAGTAGTCTGTTAGTTAAGTTAGGGCTTTTTCAAAGTTTGAAGAAGAGTTTGTAGAATTGCTAAAAACTTATAGGAAATTCATTGGTTCTTCATCTGAGCTTGCATTCATATCGATTTCTTAGACACATCATCTGGATTTCGAAACCCTAGGTTTTTGATAGATGTGAG